GTGTCTCATTTGCTGAGAACCTTCTTCATTTATTTTTCTGCAAGGGTCAGGTGGTGTTTTGAATATTTTTATACAGCTTTCTCTCTTTATTTATTTTATTTATTTATTTTTTGAGACGGAGTTTCACTCTTGTCACCCAGGCTGGAGTGCAATGGTGCGATCTCAGCTCACCGCAACCTCCGCCTCCTGGGTTCAGGCAATTCTCCTGCCTCAGCCTCCTGAGTAGCTGGGATTACAGGCACGCGCCACCATGCCCAGCTAATTTTTTGTATTTTTAGTAGAGACGGGGTTTCACCATGTTGACCAGGATAGTCTCGATGTCTTGATCTCGTGATCCACCCGCCTCAGCCTCCCAAAGTGCTGGGATTATAGGCGTGAGCCACCGCGCCCAGCCTACAGTTTTCTCAAAAATGTATTTTAAATCATTAAAAATCGCTGTTTTCACATTTATGGATATAATCTGCTAATTACATTCCAAATAGTGAATTATTTCTGGTTCCTGGAAAGAACCACACTTACCGTACTGTATTTTTTTCTTTTTATGAACTTTCAAGCCTATTTTTTAAATATATTGTGTAGAATTTTTGCATCTATATTCAAAAATGAGATACATATTTATGTTTGTGCATATACGTGATATTTTGGTCATACTTGGTGAAAACTTGAAGGGGAAAGGTTCCTAAATGTTTAAATAACTTCCGCATTATTTTTTGAAGCTTTGCTAGAATTCAGTAAAGAATTTGTATGAATAGTGACTAATTACCTCCTGGGCAACTTTCTCAATTCTGTGTATGGCAATTGGTTGATTTCGATTTGCAATTTCATCTAAATAAAATTTGGGTCTTCTCTGTCTGTACATACGTGTGTATATGCACATATTTACACACACATATATACATGTACATGTAATTCTTACATAATCAGCTATTCCAGCTTTTCAGAGTATTTACATAGTGCTGAGGAAACATATATTTAATCTATTTTTTATTTCCTCCTCTTAATTCCTCATTTTGGGTTTGTATATCTCTCCTATGCATCTGCCTCGTGTAATTAATTTTGATATATTTCATAGGATTTTTGTAAAGAAGCGTCTCTGGAAATTATTTACTAACGACTTTTTAATCTTTCACACATCATTAATTTCTGTTTTCCCTCCTTCTGCTTTCCACACCTTTATTTTGCTCCCATGATTCTGTTTTTTAATTGCATGATTAATTTGCTAAATGACAATTTTTGTGGAAAATGTGTGACGTTGATGGTGAATAACTCTGCTCCGAGCTGTGTGTGGACGGTGTGCTGCGGCTGGAAGACTGCCACACTTTTGCTTCTGTTTTCTTTCCCGCAGGACTTCTGCAGTCTCAGGTGACCTCCTGATAACACCTGGAGCCGTGCTTTGTGTCTAAGCCTTTGATCATTTTCTGTGGGGCATTCACAGGGTGTGAGAAGCAGTTGTGTTTCTTGTTTTCAGGGTGGAGCTTGACTCAGCAGTGCACATCCTCCTGAGAACGGGGCACTCTCCTCCACAGGCTCACCAGCTTCTGCTCGCTTGGCCTCATGGGTGAGCAGAGGTGTGTCAATTCCTCTTTGAAGCAGGCATCTCCAGTACCGGCAGCCACACTCTTGCCTCTGCCCTCTTGCCTCAGGCATTCTCCAAAACCCTAGCAAGCAGGAGTGGAAAGCAACCCTCCAGCCCTGGAAATTGGGGCTGGACGCCAATGCTGCACCCTCCCACCTCAAAGGGACAACTCCAGTGCATGGCTGGGGGCCTGGAGAGGCTGAGCCGCAATGCCACACAGCTCAGTGCAGGTGGCCTCTCATGCAGTAGAGACCTCTCACTACTCCCCTTCCTACCTCCCAGGCTCCATAGTCCCACACCTTCCTCCTGGTCCTGCTGCCAGAGACCCCAGGTAAGACCACGTGCATGGGGTGAGTCACTGTGTTTCCTTAGGTGTTGAGCATGGGGTGAGACACTGCATTTCCTTAGGTGGTGAGCATGGGGTGAGACACTGCATTTCCTTAGGTGGTGAGCATGGGGTGAGTCACTGCATTTCCTTAGGTGTTGAGCATGGGGTGAGACACTGCATTTCCTTAGGTGGTGAGCATGGGGTGGGTCACTGCATTTCCTTAGGTGGTGAGCATGGAGTGAGTCACTGCATTTCCTTAGGTGGTGAGCATGGGGGGAGACACTGCTTTTCCTTAGGTGGTGAGCATGGGGTGAGACACTGCATTTCCTTAGATAGTGAGCATGGGGTGAATCACTGCATTTCCTTAGATAGTGAGCATGGGGTGAGTCACTGCGTTTCCTTAGGTGTCGAGCATGGGGTGGGTCACTGCATTTCCTTAGGTGTCGAGCATGGGGTGAGACACTGCATTTCCTTAGGTGTCGAGCATGGGGTGAGACACTGCATTTCCTTAGGTGGTGAGCATGGGGTGAGTCACTGCGTTTCCTTAGGTGTCGAGCATGGGGTGGGTCACTGCATTTCCTTAGGTGGTGAGCATGGGGTGAGACACGGCATTTCCTTAGGTGTCGAGCATGGGGTGAGACACTGCATTTCCTTAGGTGGTGAGCATGGGGTGAGTCACTGCGTTTCCTTAGGTGGTGAGCATGGGGTGAGTCACTGCATTTCCTTAGGTGGTGAGCATGGGGTGAGTCACTGCATTTCCTTAGGTGGTGAGCATGGGGTGAGACACTGCGTTTCCTTAGGTGGTGAGCATGGGGTGAGACACTGCGTTTCCTTAGGTGGTGAGCATGGGGTGAGTCACTGCATTTCCTTAGGTGGTGAGCATGGGGTGAGACACTGCGTTTCCTTAGGTGTTGAGCATGGGGTGAGACACTGCGTTTCCTTAGGTGTAGAGCATGGGGTGAGACACTGCGTTTCCTTAGGTGTCGAGCATGGGGTGAGTCACTGCGTTTCCTTAGGTGTCGAGCATGGGGTGAATCACTGCATTTCCTTAGGTGGTGAGCATGGGGTGAGTCACTGCATTTCCTTAGGTGGTGAGCATGGGGTGAATCACTGCATTTCCTTAGGTGGTGAGCATGGGGTGAGTCACTGCATTTCCTTAGGTGGTGAGCATGGGGTGAATCACTGCGTTTCCTTAGGTGTAGAGCATGGGGTGAGACACTGCGTTTCCTTAGGTGTCGAGCATGGGGTGAGTCACTGCGTTTCCTTAGGTGTCGAGCATGGGGTGAATCACTGCATTTCCTTAGGTGGTGAGCATGGGGTGAGACACTGCATTTCCTTAGGTGGTGAGCATGGAGTGAGACACTCTGTTTCCTTAGGTAGTGAGCATGGGGTGAGTCACTGCGTTTCCTTAGGTGTTGAGCATGGGGTGAGTCACTGCGTTTCCTTAGGTGTTGAGCATGGGGTGAGTCACTGCATTTCTTTACGTGTCGAGCATGGGGTGAGACACTGCATTTCCTTAGGTGGTGAGCATGGGGTGAGACACTGCATTTCCTTAGGTGTTGAGCATGGGGTGAGACACTGCATTTCCTTAGGTTGTGAGCATGGGGTGAGTCACTGCATTTCCTTAGGTGGTGAGCATGGGTGTAGTCACTGCATTTCCTTAGGTGGTGAGCATGGGATGAGACACTGCGTTTCCCTAGGTGGTGAGCATGGGGTGAGACACTGCATTTCCTTAGGTGGTGAGCATTGGGTGAGTCACTGCATTTCCTTAGGTGTTGAGCATGGGGTGAGTCACTGCATTTCCTTAGGTGGTGAGCATGGGGTGAGTCACTGTGTTTCCTTAGGTGGTGAGCATGGGGTGAGTCACTGCATTTCCTTAGGTGGTGAGCATGGGGTGAGTCACTGCATTTCCTTAGGTGTTGAGCATGGGGTGAGTCACTGCATTTCCTTAGGTGTTGAGCATGGGGTGTGTCACTGCATTTCCTTAGGTGGTGAGCATGGGATGAGACACTGCGTTTCCTTAGGTGGTGAGCATGGGGTGAGACACTGCGTTTCCTTAGGTGGTGAGCATGGGGTGAGACACTGCGTTTCCTTAGGTGGTGAGCATGGGATGAGACACTGCCTTTCCTTAGGTGGTGAGCATGGGTCTAGTCACTGCGTTTCCTTAGGTGGTGAGCATGGGGTGAGACACTGCGTTTCCTTAGGTGGTGAGCATGGGATGAGACACTGCATTTCCTTAGGTGGTGAGCATGGGTCTAGTCACTGCGTTTCCTTAGGTGGTGAGCATGGGGTGAGACACTGCGTTTCCTTAGGTGGTGAGCATGGGGTGAGACACTGCGTTTCCTTAGGTTGTGAGCATGGGTGTAGTCACTGCGTTTCCTTAGGTGTTGAGCATGGGGTGAGTCACTGTATTTCCTTAGGTGGTGAGCATGGGGTGAGACACTGCGTTTCCTTAGGTGTCGAGCATGGGGTGAGACACTGCGTTTCCTTAGATGTCGAGCATGAGGTGAGACACTGCGTTTCCTTAGGTGGTGAGCATGGGTCTAGTCACTGCGTTTTCTTAGGTGTTGAGCATGGAGTGAGTCACTGCATTTCCTTAGGTGGTGAGCATGGAGTGAGTCACTGCATTTCCTTAGGTGTTGAGCATGGGGTGAGTCACTGCATTTCCTTAGGTGGTTAGCATGGGGTGAGTCACTGCATTTCCTTAGGTGGTGAGCATGGGGTGAGTCACTGTGTTTCCTTAGGTGGTGAGCATGGGGTGAGTCACTGCATTTCCTTAGGTGGTGAGCATGGGGTGAGTCACTGCATTTCCTTAGGTGTTGAGCATGGGGTGAGTCACTGCGTTTCCTTAGGTGTTGAGCATGGGGTGAGTCACTGCGTTTCCTTAGGTGTTGAGCATGGGGTGAGACCCTGCATTTCCTTAGGTGGTGAGCATGGGGTGAGACACTGCGTTTCCTTAGGTGGTGAGCATGGGGTGGGTCACTGCATTTCCTTAGGTGGTGAGCATGGGGTGAGTCACTGCATTTCCTTAGGTGGTGAGCATGGGTTGAGTCACTGCATTTCCTTAGGTGGTGAGCATGGGGTGAGACACTGCATTTCCTTAGGTGGTGAGCATGGGGTGAGTCACTGCATTTCCTTAGGTGGTGAGCATGGGGTGTGTCACTGTATTTTTTGAGGTGTTGATCATGGGGTGGGTCACTGCATTTCCTTAGGCGTTGAGCATGGGGTGAGTCACTCTGTTTCCTTAGGAGTTGAGCATGGGGTGAGTCACTCTGTTTTCTTAGGTGTCGAGCATGGGGTGGGTCACTCTGTTTCCTTAGGCATTGAGCATGGGGTGAGTCACTCTGTTTGCTTAGGAGTTGAGCATCGGGAAGTCTGCATTTTGGTGTCTACCTCGCTCAGATCTTCTCTCCTTTCTACGGGGCTTCTTGTCTTCTTTGAGGCTTGTCCAGGTCACAGCCTCTCCGACACTTATGTGGCCATCCCAGCTCCCCCTTGCTGGCCTCTGTGTGGCATTTCCACACTTTTCTTGATCCCTTGATTGCACGTTTCTGATTATTTCTTGTCAATGTCGCCTGCTGGGACACCTGGGCTTGCGTTCTTTTCCCTACTTTGAGAACCTGGTTTTTATGGGCGGAGGTGTCATACCTGCCCTTGCTGCTGCGATCCCCATCTGACTACAGCTCCCTGGACGTCCTCTTCAGTCACAGCGATACTCCCAAGCTCCCGTCGTTGTCGGCCTTCTGCTCCTGCGTCTGCTTTTTCTCTGGGAATGGGTTTCCTTCTGGAAATTTGGAAAGGTGATTCATCTGCTTGTGTTTTGTGTTTGCCATCTTTATAGCTTTTAGTCGCATTTCCAGAGCCTATTTCCACATTTATCAACTCTTAACAGACTGTTAACCCCGCTACGTAAAAGGAGAAAACCTGTTCCTTTCAGTGTTTCCCAGATAGTGTCACCGTTTTCTGATTTTTCAGCCATGTATTTGTAGAGAACTAACAGTTTATACCTGCTGGAACCTCTGACAGAACTTTATGCCTGTGAAAATCTGAAATTTGGCCTTTTATACCTAACTACTGTGAAAGGTCTCCTCGTTGTAAGTTAAATACATCAGGCAATTCCTTTTTTTTTTTTTTTTTTTTTTGAGACAGTCTCCCTTTGTCTCCCAGGCTGGAGTGCCGTGGCTCAATCTCTGTTCACTGCAACCTCTGCCTCCCAGGTTCAAGTGATTCCCCTTCCTCAGCCTCTCGAATAGCTGGAATTACAGGTGTGCGCCACCACACCAGGTTAATTTTTGAATTTTTCATAGAGACAGGGTTTCACCATATTGGTCAGGCTGGTCTCAAACTCCTAACCTTGTGATCCACCCACCTCAGCCTCCCAAAGTGCTGGGATCACAGGCATGAGCCACCACACCCGGCCCAATTACGTTTCTTTCTACCTCTTGCCCTCTGTGATATATGTGTGTGTGTAACTTTGTGAAAGTTTATATATGCATAAATAGACAGCTTCTATTCTATTGATAAGTATATATAACGTGCACACTCTGCTCAGGGCTGCGTTTGCACTGACCTGGCCATGGGTTTCACGATAGCGGCCTCGTCGCTCACAGCCAGGCCTTTCTCTCCCTGTGTTTCCTGCTTCCCGAGCCCTTGGTTCTGCTGCGTCTGCACAGGGTCTGCCAGCTAGCTGCCTCTCCAGGACCTACCCGCCGATCTCCTTTCAAAGCAGCCCCTCCATTTAAAATGATAACTTGATTGAGATGTGATTCCCAAGAGAACTACAAGATGCCACCATTGAAAACCAGAAGACATTATTGAAATAAATTATTGAAGGGAATTTTATATCCAAAGGTGATTCTAACTTTTACATATGAAAAGTAAAAAAAGATTCTAACTTTTACATAAGAAAAGTATCCTGGGTGTGTGTGACCCAGGATAGCCAAATCGTTTTTGAGAACAGAGGATAACTTCTCCAATTTTAAAACTTCCTGCAAAGCTGTGGTGGTCACGACAGTGAGGTGCTGGCATAAGGACATGCCTGTAGGTAAACAGCAGTACAGAAATAAATTCTTACATTTTGGTCGATTGATTTTCAACAAAGTGGCCAAGGATAGTCAATGTGAAATGATTAAACTTTTCAATAAATTGTTCTGGGTCAACTAGATAGCCACATACCAAAGAATGAATTTGAATCCCTACTTCACCCACCATATGCAAAAATTAACTCAAAATAAATTCTAGACCTATGATCAGGCATGGTGACTCATGCCTGTAATCCCAGCACTTTGGGAGGTCGATGGATCACCTGAGGTGAGGAGTTCAAGACCAGCCTGGCCAAGATGGTAAAACCCTGACTCTACTAAAAATAACATAACTAGCTAGGTGTAGTGGTGTGCACCTATAGTCACAGCTACTCAGGAGGCTGAGGCATGAGAATCACTTGAGCTCAGTAGAATGCAGTGAGCCGAGATCACACCACTGCACTCCATCCTGGGCAACAGAGCAAGACTCCGCCTCGAAAGAGACTAACAGCAGTCCAGGTGCGGTGGCTCACGCCTGAAATGCCAGCACTTTGAGAAGCTGAGATGGGTGGATCACCTGAGGTCAGGAGATAGAGACCAGCCTGACCAACATGGTGAAACCCCATCTCTACTAAAAATACAAAAATTAGCTGGGCGTAGTGGCACATGCCTGTAGTCCCAGCTACTGGGGGTGGGGGAGCTGAGGCAGGAGAATCGCTGGAACCTGGGAGCATGGATGAACCTGGGGACATTACGTGTAATGAAATAAGCAGGCGCAGAAAGACAAACACTGCACAGCCTCTCTCTAGGTGGAATCTCCAATGCATAGACGGAGGCAGAGATCCAGGTGATGTGGCCACAAGCCCAGGAATGGTGGCAGGCACCATGGTGAGGGGCAGATTCTCCTGGAGCCTCCAGAAGGAGGCAGCCCAGCCAGTGCCTGGATTTTTAGCCCCACAGGACTAAGTTTGGGGGTCCCGCTCTTCCAGAACTGTAAGAGAATATGTTTCTGAGGTTTTAACCCACCACGTCTGGAGTAATTCGTTATAACAGCCACCAGCAACCCAAACACCAAGAAACCGACCTCCCAGGCGTCAGGCCACTGTCCACCCTCTCCTTCCCTCCCCTCTTTCTTTCTTCTCCTGCCAAAGTCAATGCCATATGTATTTATTTTGTGATTTCTGTTTTTATTTGTACAGCAGCCTCAACTCCAAGGTCATAATCTCTATAATCAGAGTCAGCACAGATCCACCCGCCAGCCCCATGTTTCCAGAGCTTTAATTCACAAAGAACGTGCTTCTGACCATGTTGGTTCACTACAGGAGGTGTTGACCACCCTCATGGGTCATCCCAAGGGCCAGGCTCCTTCCTACACAGCCTGGGAGCTCTCTGGGCTCAGGAAGCAGAAGGAAAGAGACAGAGCTGAATGCTGTTGGTGAGGCTTAGGGGTCAGGGTTGGGGATGGCAGCAACTCCTGGTTCATATTCACCAGCCAAGTCATATCTACAAAGTGAGCTGAAAAACTCAGTCCACTAAGGCCCAGGAAGAAAAAGGGTGGGCTGGTGGCTGAGGCTGCCAAAAGGTTTCAGCAGCCTGAGTGACCAGGGCCTGGGTTCTGACCTCCCAGCTCGCACCTCTGTGAGCTCACCTATTTCTTACCATGTATATTCGTAAGAGATGCTTCAGCACCTAATTTAGAAAGATATTGCTTTAGTATCTCATATTAATACAAGGAATAAAAATTAAATGCAGCTAAGGGGTTTGCAGGTTACAGAGCAACTGTGCCTCCGGGGCCTCCTCTAAGCGTTCCTTTATCTGGCCTTATTAATTCCAGCACTTAGGAGCCAGGGGACCTTGGAGAGTCACCCTTGTGTCTCTGAGCTGCGTTTTCTATTAGCAAACGGGGATCGATACCTACCAGCCTCTCCCAGGCCAGTGATGAGTATCCTGCTGCCTGGGATGGGTCACCTGGGAGAATTCAGAACAGGAGCACGCTCTTCTCAGAGCTCCCCTCCTGTTCCAGGGACCGTAGAGCTACCCCCATGCTGCAGACCAGTGCCAGGGCCCCAGCAGAAGGCAGGGACCAGCCTTGTCCCAGCAGGAATGGCACAGCCCCTGCAGAGGTCCGGCCAGCAGGCCACCCTGCCCTGGGAGGCTCAGGTGCCTAGGGGGAGCTCTCAAGCCTGTGTCTCTGCCACCTGGGCGCCACCCCGAGGCCCCGGCTGTGGCTGCTTTGGCTCTTCCCTGACAGGCCAAAGGCACCGGGGAGCCTGAGCAGCCATGGGCAGCTCTCATTCAGACTTGGGGGAGTAGACCAGAGAGTAAAACATTTTCCCCAAAATGTAAATTGTATTAAAAAAAATCCATACTGCTAGAAGGGCTTTGTAATAAGGCAATAAATCAAGCTGGGAAGCAGCACTCAGGGTGGAAACGAATGTCTTATTTATTGGGGAGGGAGAAGAATGAGGCGCAGTGCTGGGGTGAGCCTGCGTCTCCCAGCACCCCCCACCCACCCCAGTCCTGGAGGTCCCCCTCCCCAGGGACCAGCCTGCCTCTCCAGAGGCCATGCCACTCATCTCTCTGCTCGTTCACTCACCTAGTCATTCATTCACTCCCAGGTTACCAGGCGCCTATTACCAACTACGCACAGCACTCACTGAGCCTGCAGAGACCAGCAAACACTAAGGGCTCACCTGTCAGAAGCTCGCAGGGAGTCAGGGTTCGGTCCAGGCTGATGCATTGAGCTGTGCAGGATAAGGTGGCCTCTCTGTGCTGCTCTAAGGGAGCCACTGTCTGGTGGGGGAGGCAGAAGCCAGACAGTGACAACCAAAAAGCCCCACGGCCCAGGAAGTCCAACCCAAGGCAGGGTGGTCAGGGAAGCCTGCCTGGAGGAGGTGGCAGCCTAGCTGAGGACAAGTCCCTCCAGCGAAGAACTGGGGGAAGTAGAGACACAGAGGGGACCCTGCCATGGGAAGGAGGACGGCTGCCACACCCCTCCCAGCACTCAGGCACATGGCTGGAGCTGTTTAGTGGATTCGGCTCACCAGACGCCGCCCAGAGTCTGAGAGTGAGCCAGACCTCCTGCAGCCAGTGGCGCCTCCGCTGTGCTGCTCAGTAATTTCGGGCTTACAGCGTAGGAGGCACTAAGATTAGATCCCAAGTCAGAGACAGCCGCAGTGCGGTTTTCCAGGGAGCACTGAGAAAACTAGAGCACCACGCGCATCATGGGACTTTCCTTGCTCTGTCTGGCACGCTCTGCTTCGCAAGGCGCTTGTCTCTTGGTGGACTTCTGTCCTGTGACGCATCCCTGTTCCGTGTTTGACGGGTGGGGGAAGGGTAATGCATGGGGGGAAATGGCCCACCTGGTCTGCCCGGGCCGGCTGGGCAACTCGGGCCAGGTACCCAGCCCTCTGAGCACCAGTGTCAGGGCCACACTCTGCAGACCAAGACCTGGGTCAGGGCTCCCAGTAGGAGCTAGGGAGGAAACTGTACTGAGCCCAGGCTCTGACGCCGGCCTCGCTGGAGGGCTGCTCTGGGTACCCTGAGGTCCGGGGGTGGCCCCGTCGCCCTTCCAAGGACTGGACTCACTGCTAGGTGCTCCCAGGCAGGAGTGGCGTCTCTCCGCAGCAGGCACGAGGTCCTGGCTGCCTCACACTTCGCAGGTGTGTCTGCGGCTGGAAAGAGGAGCTGGGGCCCTGCCCCAATCTTGGTCTCTCTCCTTCGCTCCCGGGGTAGGGGTGGCTAATGGGAATGATGGGGCTTTCTGGGAGTGTGCTCACCCACCTGGAGCCTCAGAGACGGGAGAGGGCTGGGGAATCCATCCCCGAGGCAACCGGACTCCTGGGTTCTGGGGGTGAACAGGCAGCCGGCCCTTCTCTAAAGCAGGTGCAGCATGCCTGGCACTGCCCGGCACGGGTGACAGAGCCCTGCTGGGGAGTTGCCATCCTTTGGGGCTTGGGATCTTATTTTTCTCTGAACTGTCACCAGGAGGGTTGGTCATCATGCACCAATGCTTCCATTTTGGAAAGAGGGAGAAGGAAGCACTCAGGGAGGCCTTCGAAAGGCAGTTTGGGAGCTTCCCCGGATGGATTCCCTTCTCCTCGGAACAGCCCTGGGTCCTCCTGGCGCTGCAGGCTGAGCTGACACTGGGGCAGGATCCTGTCCTGACTGCAGGGAGAGGCCTAGTGTGTGGTGGCTTTCGGGGCCATTTGCTTCCAACCTGAGGGGTGCCCCATACCCAGTTAGGTCCCCATTTCTGTTACAGGGAATGGGCTGGGAGGGCATGGGGCACCTCTCGGAATGGACTCTCTCTGCCTCCAGGGCTGACGTCAGTGGTGGGAGGCATCAGTTCTCCAAGGCCTCCCAGGAAAGTCAGATAGGGGCTGGAGTTCCGTTTCCAGCCAGACAGCACCAGCTCTCAGTGGAGTGGGGGGCGGGGCGGGGCAGGGAGGGGTAGGTGCTGGACTTGAAGTTTACAGGAGGCAGCTGGGCTGCAGTGAGCAATGTGGGGCTCACATTCAGACATTGGGCACCACAGAGCTGACCTTGACAGGCTTCGAAGACCCAGCCATGGCCTGGCCCAACTCAGACCCCGCGCTCAGGACACTGTAGCACTCCCCAAGCCACACCTCCCCCAAGGCCCAGCAGATCCCAGCGGGGTTGGCAGGACCCTGCTCTGCCTTCTTCTCTGCATTGCTGGTCAAGCCAGGCCCAGCTGCAGACAGGACACTCAGACCTGATGTGGAGAAAGCCTTTGGAAGTGCAGGGCCTGGGCCTGGGCCTCCATCACTGCTATGGGCACACTCTGCCCTTTGCCCTCTCCATACACACAGCTCCACGCTCGAGATTTCAGAAGCGGGGCTCCCGTTCAGCTCCGAAGCAGGTGCAGCTTATCCCCCAGTCTGGTCTCAGGGTTCACTCACTCTCTGGCACCTCCGTCCTGCCTGTCGGGCTAGATTTCTGGAGAGAGCGCAGAAGGAAGCTGGCGTCCTATTGAACAGATGCTGCCCACAAACCCAGGGGATGCCCTGCAGGCTCAGAGGTCCTCCCCTCTTGGCGCTTGTCACCAGGTCCCTCCCCTTAGCTTGGTCTAACTCCTGCCTCTTCCATCCTCCCCGTTCATTAGTCACTAGACTGTGGGGTAGTGCAGCGATGAGCAGAGAGATGGGTGTGTGGTCAGCACCGAGGACAGCAGCTGCTCGCCCGGGGTTTAGAGTCACAGGGCGCTGGGCTCTGAACAGGAAGACACGCATGCTGGTCTTGACCTCCAAAGAGCAGAGACTGGGGGCCCCCCAGAGATGGGTGTGGGACCTGGGAGGTGTGTTCTGGAATCTTCTGTGAGGACCATGTGGAAGTGGTTGCTTCCTCCTTCAGGCCTTGCTCAGCATTCCACTGTGGGCAGCATTTGAAGCCTCCCTGCCTGGCTGCACTCACCCCCCACCTGCCCCTCTCCTGTCCCATCCTCAGACTTGAAGCTGTGAGTCCAGGTCCTCTCCCTAGGGGCCATGGGCACCGTGAGGGGGGCACTTCACCAACCTGGCACCACAGTGTCCCCCATGCGCAGCCTGGTGCCAGCACAGAGTAGGCCCTTGTCAGTATCTGTGATTGGGCACAAGAGTGAGGGAGTGAATGAGCAAGCGAGCGAGTGACTGAGTGAACAAGAGGTTGTTGAGGTGAGGCCGGATACTGCGCCCAGCTCAGAAACTCAAAGGCTCCTAACCTCACCAACTAGAGTCCAGTCTTCTGAAGCCCAGCCTGGTTTTTCTCATGGGTCAGAGAGACGATCTGACGGGCTCCGGTGGGAGCATGGCCTCCAGAATGTGTCCCTTCCAGGTGAACTGCTGCGTCTGAAATCACACCATTACTCAGCTCTCCCTAAAAACGCAGCCGTCTCTGGGAGCAGCGTCACTTAGAGCCAAGGGCAGTGAGAGTTCTGGGATCAACACTGAGCACGGAATGAAGCCAGCTCAAGGTCCGGCAAAAGCTCTCGGTAAACATCCGTCAGGGGGTAACCAGCACAGGGAGGTGAGGAGAGCAGACCGGTCCCTTCCAGCGCGGAGGGTGCTGGGACCAGTGCCATCTGCCACTGCCCATTCTCCAGGCAAGGAGAGAAGCATCCGCAGCTTCCCCACACCGTCCAGTGGGCAGGGACCGTGGGCCCCTGTGGCTCAGCTGAGCGGCCTGGCGCTCCCGGAAGCCCTCCTTCCACAGGCTGTGGCCTGGCAGGAGGGGCCTGTCGGAGATGGAACTATGTTGCCCCCAAGAGAGGTGCTGCAGTTCTCAGCCTCCAACCTCAGGCTTATTTCCAAATAAGGCCCTGGTAGATGAAGCAGTTAAGATGCAGACATCCTGGAACCCAGTGGGCCCCAAGTGCGGAACGCCTGGTGTCCTTCGAAGGAGAGACAGAGGCAGACACCCTGGGAGGGCCACACTGTGACCACAACGGAGGCAGAGACGAGGGGCGCATCCGTGTGCCCAGGTGAACACCAAGCATGGCAGCCCGGACGGACTGTCCCACAGAGCCGCAGGGAGGAACCCGCCCTGCCGACCGACACCTCTTCCCCGGGTTCCAGCCTTCAGAGCTCAACACATTTCTGCTGTTTGAAGCCATGGAGTTTGTGTTGACTTTCCCAGCAGCCACAGGAGGCTGATTCGGGCCGTTTCCTCCCCCGGAATCCCACGGCTCTTCCTAAAGCGTCCGTTTTTGGCCCTGCAGCCGCCCGACAGCTGTGGGAAGCTTCTCCGAGGGCCCTAACTGCACCCTGGGTGTGCTCCGTCCCCTTTGCCAGCAGCCTGGGGTGCTGTGGACGCCCTCGCCAGAGGTCAGCTGGGCCCTGGCTGGAGGGACACGTTCAGAAGGAAGCTCCGTTCTCTGCTCTCAGAGCCAGGCCCCTCCTGAGCATCTGGCACCAGCCGTCTTCCCACCTCCCTCCCTCCTCCAGTCCCGTTTTAAATAGAATCCATCAGCAATCAGAGCGTGAGGCCATCAGTCCAGGCTAGAAGCATAGCCGGACTCCACGGATGGAGGGCATCTCCCCGCGGAGTGAACGGCTGCCCAGCTCCTCCAAACAGCTCCACTCCCCCCAATGCTGTCCCCCTTCTTAATGGCCACCAGTGTCCCCAGAGCCGAGAAACTGGGGCGAGGAGTCATTGTGCAGTGGGAAGACGGGCTGCCAGGCTCTGAGCGGGCAGAATCCATTTCCTGTGTTTGAGCAGGCTCTACCCGAGGGCCAGAGCAGAAGCCACAGCGGGAACCGAGAGGGAGGCTTCATCTCCGGCCAGCGCCCCTGCAGCTTGGGCAGGTGGGATGGCCTCACATGTGCCTCCGTGTGCCCATCTGTGCATGCCCTGAGCAGACGTTGTGAGGATCAGGGGGAGCATGGGTGGAGGGACTCAGGCCAGTACTGGGCAAATCAGCTGGTAGCTGGCCACGGAGGCCGGGGAGGGTTTATCTTATTTTTTCTTGTCCTGAATGAAAAGTTTTATTGGGTTTATCTTGTTTTTCTGATAAGACATTAGGTTCTTTTCACTCGTTGAAGGACTATGTGCATTTTATGGAAGTCTGAGCATTTTTTGAACAATGTACGGAAGCCAGGAAGTCAAAAAGGTAGACTGTGGAAGATGATGGTTGGGTAGTTGTTAACCCAGTGATCTTCTCCCCGTCTGCCTTGCCAGAAGAACCCTTGTTTTATTTGAAAGTCACTCGGGCAAGAGGACTGTATTTCACATTTTAGGAATAAACACTGTTGTTATATGCCAGGTCTCCAGTGGGTGGCCCTCCAGCTCAGACAGGCAGGACCCAGCTGGCAGCCGGCCACAGAGCCCCGCAGACTGAGGCGCCAGCCCAGGCCCCCCATCTTGGGGAGCAGGTCTGAGCAGGTGGAGCTGGGACTGGAGGCTGAGGGCTGCCCCAGAATCTTGGGGAGCGTGAGGGCTTCGCGGGCTCCAGCCGGTCCTGGGGGCCTGGGTGGGGCCCAGAGCTGGGTCCTGCTCTAACCTCCCTGGTGACGCTGCCTCATAACTGATGCTGTGCCCAGAGACTCCTACCTGTGTCTGGATATGCCAGCTGCCCTGTCTGCCCTGTACCAGGGATTGTCCCCAGGAGCCTCCTGGCAGCCCTCGGGCCCCGAGTGTGCGTGACGTACCTGGTGCTGGCCTGAGTCCTCCCAAGGCAGGTGCAGAAGGGTGCACAGAGGTGCGTGCATGAGGCCTCCCAGCGGTGGGGATGTCGCCGGTCCTGGCTGACCCCAAGCCCACGTGCCCCACTACTGAGCATCTCCACCTCTGAACCTTGCCCTGCACCGAGGCCTGTGCACGGGAGCTGGCCCTGCCCAGACGGACGTGTCTGCCTCTGAACTTTGGGCTGTGCTGGCTGCCCCTGCTGGCCCATCGCAGAGGCGGCATGGTCTCTAGGCATTCCCTGTGGGAGTCTCCTGGCGCCCTTGATGTCACAGCTTCGAGTCCCTGGGTGGGCTCAGGCAAGATTCTACAGCCCAGAATCTTCACCTCCAACTTCACTCCTAGACAAGACCTGGCTTCCACAAGGTGGGGTGGGGCTCTTGCAGCAGTGCACACACATGGAGACTTGGGCATAAATGGTGGTATCACAGGACAGGGCAGGGCAGGTGGGCAAAGCTGGGACTCACAGGGCTTGGGGCCTGGGGAGAGGACATCTCCATTCCGGGGAAAAGTGGGTGTCTGGTCCCTCCTTCAGGCTCTCTTGGAAGTGTGGGCACCAGGCTTCGCAGAGGCCCCACCAACCCCTTGCCCCTGTGGTGCAAACCTCCTCGGTGGAAGCTTTGGGGCTGGCTGTGCAGGCGTGGAACCTGTGTGATGCTCAGAAACCTCCGTGCTTGGTCTGAGGCTCACTGTCCTCGACCTGCAATTCCGCTTTTTTGAAACGGACTCTCACTCTGTCACCCAGGCTGGAGTGCAGTGGCACAGGCTCAGCTCCCTGCAACCTCTGCCTCCTGGGTTTAAGTGATTCTCCTGCCTCAGCCTCCCGAGTAGCTGGGACCACAGGTGTGCACCTCCACGCCCAGCTAATTTTTATGTTTTAAGTAGAGATGGAGTTTTACTATGTTAGCCAGGCTGGTCTTGAACTCCTGACCTCAGGCAATCTGCCCACCTTAGCCTCCCAAACTGCAGGGATTACAAGGCATGAGCCACCGTGCCTGTCCTGTCCTGCAATTCTTGATAATTAACAATGACTGAGGTCCGATGAGACGAAGGTGTGGGCAGAGGAGACCCATGAAATATACACGCCCAGGCCCCTCCGTGCCTCATTTGCAGAGTCCGTGATGCCTCACGAGTGTGTCATGACATCTCGTAAGCCCACAATGGGTGGGGGCTCTGTGAGGCTCCACATCAATGGCACATGAGCTCCTTAGGGCCACCGAAGGCCATGCTTTACATTCAAACCAGAAGCCACTTCAAACTCGGAGCCAGTGTTCTAAGAAGCACAAATGGCACAGGGACCCAATCCTACCTCTTGACTCCGGATATGGTGCTCATGACAACAAGTGAAATAAAAACAGTCCAGTCTGTATTGTGCAGGGTCTCCACTGCTTTGCTGAGAGCAAAAGGCACCCAACAGGCACACACCGTGCAGCGCCGATTGCAGAAGTGCAGCGATTCCCCCCAGGAATGAGCTGCTCTTACCTCCGCAAGCGCAACGGGTGTGTGTGGCACGGAACAATCGTAAAATTTACACTATTAAAGGTTTTAGGCCAGGCGAGGTGGTGCACACCTGTAATCCCAGCGCTTTGGGAGGCAGGCAGATCACCTGAGGTCAGGAGTTCGAGACCAGCCTAGCCAACATGGCAGAACTCTGCCTCTACTAAGGCTCCCACCCACGGCCAGCTGCCTCTGAGGGGAAAAGTCTGGAGGTGGGTAGGCCAGCTGGACAAGTGTCGGCAAAGGCCTGGGGAGAGAGTGTCCCGCTCATGACCAGGACCTCCAGGGTGAGGGTGGAGCTACGGTGCCCCTCTGAACGACATCTAGAAACTGTCCTCTGCTCCGCTCTGTCACCCGGGGATGGGAACCTGGGCTGCATTAACACTTTATTCCCAAAGACTTTGCTTTCAGTAGATGTGTAAGAAGGAAGAGAAATGCAAAGTCTCCAGCAGCCAAGGAAGGTGTGATTGGCCAATGTTATCCCAACAATACCGAGCTCCTGTGTCTCAGCCTGCAGGTGAGATAATGGGCAGACATGAGGAGCATTGTCAGACACCTCCGGTGGGCACTGGGCACATGAAGCATCAATCCACAGTGCCCGTGGACATCCCCTGGCAGGGAAATGAAATAATGCTGAGTGACAGCTGACACACTCATTGCCTGGAGGGAGCCCACCTTCCAGAGGCAGCTGGGGATGAGCCCATTTATAGCCCGTCTCAGGGTTTGGACACACAACTCCGAACCTGCCATTCTGCTAATGAGGGATCGCACTCAAATCCTGAGAGCCTGTTTCCCTGCAGAGAGCCTTACACGTCTTGGCAAAATTAAGATGACTTTGACAGGGACACACAGTGAATGCTTAATGGCTTTTTAACCTTTTTTGACTTCAGTGGGTGGAAGCGCCAGACAGTTGATTATTGCATTGACCTCACCTGCAAAGATGAGCCCCTGGGGAGGAGGTGATCTGTGGCCTCCACAGCTCAAAATAATGCCCAGAGCCTCAGCACCGACCCCAGGCCTGGGCCTCGGGAGGCCAGTGTTAGACACCAGGACCCTGTTGCCACTTGTGGGACCTGCGACAAAGAGCGGGTCCTACATCACAATGAATGTGAGGGGCAACCACACCTGATGCCACACCCAACTAGGGTGCTGGCCCCTCCTCCAGCCACACCCCTCCCCCAGGCTCACCCTCATCCCCACCCCCTCCTCTAGCCTCACCCCCTCCTCCAGCCTCACCTCCTTCTCCAGCCTCACCCCTCCCCCAAGCTCACCCTTAACCCCACTCCCTCCTCCAACCTCACCACTCCTCCAGCCTCACCCTTCCTCCAGGATCACCCCATCCCACTCCCTCCTCCAGCCTCACCCCTCCTCCAACCTTACCCCTCCCCCAGGCTCACCCTTAACCCCACTCCCTCCTCCAGCCTCACCTTCCTCCAGGCTCACCCCCTCTCCTGCCTCACCCCTCCTCCAA